AAAGAGGCGGATCAGATCCAGTCCTGGCAGAATGTTCCAGCCTTCATCGCCATGTAGACTCGGAAAGAGGCGGATCAGATCCAGTCCTGGCAGAATGTTGCAGCCTTCTCCACCATGTAGACTAGGAAAGAGGCGGATCAGATCCAGTCCTGGCAGAACGTTCCAACCTTCTCCACCATGTAGACTGAAAGAGGCGGATCAGATCCAGTCCTAGCAGAATGTTCCAGCCTTCTCCGCCATGTACATCCCAGGTGAGGGCAAGTACCAGGCAGACTTCCTCAGCCTCAGTTCCTGCACCTAGAGGTGTTCCAGGACCTGTGTCACAGGTGGGGGGATGCTGCTTGTGAACCTTCAAGCCTCAAAGTTCAACAACAACCTGGACAGGTTTTGGAAGGTCTTCTGATGCTCCTCATTGCTCCAGTGGGGTATTTAGGTTTTGTGCTGCCCTAGGCAACACAAAAATCAGCGCCCCCCGCAGAAAGAGCCTGACATTGCCCAACAACACCTCTGCCTCCCACCCAAGAGAGCCTTCCACTACCACTGCCCCCCATACACCATGGCAAGAGAGAGAAGGACACTCGCCTTCACAGCTCTGGACATCCCCGAGAACGAGTCGGGCTGTGCATACACCGTCATGAAACCCGCAGCCTCTCTCTTGAACCCACCAGGTCTCCATGCCTTGTTTGTCCCTTCTTCCATGGGGCAGTGCTGCCCCCCCTGAAAAATGTCGCCCTAGGCAAATGCCTTGTTTGCTTTGTGGGAAATACATCCCCTGCATTACTTCCGACTGGTCCAGGTGGATGTGGTATGCCAACCAGGTAAGAATCCTGGTGAACATTCCTTGGGCTCCTCCAGATTGTCGGGTATTTTGTCTCAAAGACAGATTTCCCAACCTGCTTCATGATTGCTGGCTTTAGGAGAATGACTGTTGGAAGTTGGAGAATCTCTGATTTTTGCGATTCCTAAGATGCAAGAAGCTAGGAAGGCTACTTCCGGCAAGGCCTGTGATCGGGCATGGACAGCATACTTCACTTGGTGTGAGTCTCGGAGTTTCTCTGTGGGATGAATCCTCTCCTTCCTGTAGCTGGGTCTGGACCAGCGTTTGGTTCTCAGCACCATCATGGGTCAGGCATCTGCCCTTTATCCTGGTTCAGGGAATGGTGGAGTCTCCTATGCATCTCCCACCCTTCATTTCCCTAAAGTTCAGTGGGATCTAAATCTGGGTCTCTCCAAGTCTCAGAAACCACACTAATGTCCCCATTGGAGACATTCCTCTCTCTTCTCCAAGCCAGAAGTAGTGTTCCTTGTAGACATCCCCTCTGAGTGTCTGAGATGGCAGCCTCACCCTGAGGAACCCCGTCTGGCTTTGTATAGGGACAAGCTGGAGTGATCAGGCTCTCAGTACTGCTTTGCTGCAAACCAAGGCAGGCCGGTAGTAGAGCACAGACATTGCTCTGTCAGTGTCCAATCCTTCTGTAGGTTCCCTCAGTGGACTTCAAGAAAACCATTTTACAAGGAGTAGAAAAATCCAATTATAGCTTTAATTGTACTAATGAATGCGTCAATAAGCGGAAGTTCGGGGAAAATCTGGATCTGAGCGCAGACCGACCCTCTAATAATCGTCTTTACCTGTACGGGAGTTCGGGGAAAAATCTGGATCTGAGCGCAGACCGACCCTCTAATAACCGTCTTTACCTGTACGGGAGTTCGGGGGAAAATCTGGATCTGAGCGCAGACCGACCCTCTAATAACCGTCTTTACCTGTACGGGAGTTCGGGGAAAATCTGGATCTGAGCGCAGACCGACCCTCTAATAATCGTCTTTACCTGTACGGGAGTTCGGGGGAAATCTGGATCTGAGCGCAGACCGACCCTCTAATAACCATCTTTACCTGTACAGGAGTTCGATGGGAAATCTGGGTCTGAGCGCAGACCGACCCTCTAATAATCGTCTTTACCTGTACGGGAGTTCGGGGGAAATCTGGATCTGAGCGCAGACCGACCCTCTAATAATCGTCTTTACCTGTACAGGAGTTCGGGGGAAATCTGGATCGGAGCGCAGGCCGACCTCTAATAACCATCTTTACCTGTACGGGAGTTCGGGGGAAATCTGGATCTGAGCGCAGACCGACCCTCTAATAATCGTCTTTACCTGTACGGGAGTTCGATGGGAAAAATCTGGATCTGAGCGACCCTGTATGGGAAATCTGGAGACCGCAGACCGACCCTCTACTAATCGTCTTTACCTGTACGGGAGTTCGATGGGAAATCTGGATCTGAGCGCGCAGACCGACCCTCTAATAATCGTCTTTACCTGTACGGGAGTTCAGGGGAAAATCTGGATCTGAGCGCAGACCGACACTCTAATAATCGTCTTTACCTGTACAGGAGTTCAGGGGAAATCTGGATCTGAGCGCAGGCCGACCCTCTAATAATCGTCTCTTGTACGGGAGTTCGGGGGAAATCTGGTAATAATTGTCTTTACCTGTACGGGAGTTCGGGGGAAATCTGGATCTGAGCGCAGACCGACCCTCTAATAATCGTCTTTACCTGTACAGGAGTTCGGGGGAAATCTGGATCTGAGCGCAGACCGACACTCTAATAACCGTCTTTACCTGTATGGGAGTTTGATGGGAAATCTGGATCTGAGCGCAGACCGACACTCTAATAATCTTTACCTGTACGGGAGTTTGATGGGAAATCTGGATCTGAGCGCAGACCGACCCTCTAATAACTGTCTTTACCTGTACGGGAGTTCGGGGGAAATCTGAGCGCAGACCGGGGGGAAATCTGGATCTGAGCGCAGACCGACCCTCTAATAACCGTCTTTACCTGTACAGGGAGTTCGGGGGAAATCTGGATCTGAGCGCAGGCCGACCCTCTAATAATCGTCTCTACCTGTACGGGAGTTCGGGGGAAATCTGGATCTGAGCGCAGGCCGACCCTCTAATAATCGTCTCTACCTGTACGGGAGTTCGGGGGAAATCTGGATCTGAGCGCAGACCGACCCTCTAATAATCGCCTTTACCTGTACGGGAGTTCGATGGGAAATCTGGATCTGAGCGCAGACCGACCCTCTAATAACCGTCTTTACCTGTACGGGAGTTCGGGGGAAATCTGGATCTGAGCGCAGACCGACCCTCTAATAACCGTCTTTACCTGTACGGGAGTTCGGAGAAAATCTGGATCTGAGCGCAGACCGACCCTCTAATAACCGTCTTTACCGGTACGGGAGTTCGGGGGAAATCTGGATCTGAGCGCAGACCGACCCTCTAATAATCGTCTTTACCTGTACGGGAGTTCGATGGGAAATCTGGATCTGAGCGCAGACCGACCCTCTAATAATCGTCTTTACCTGTACGGGAGTTCAGGGGAAAATCTGGATCTGAGCGCAGACCGACACTCTAATAATCGTCTTTACCTGTACAGGAGTTCAGGGGAAATCTGGATCTGAGCGCAGGCCGACCCTCTAATAATCGTCGTCTACCTTACCTGTACGGGAGTTCGGGGGAAATCTGGATCTGAGCGCAGACCGACCCTCTAATAACCGTCTTTACCTGTACGGGAGTTCGGGGGAAATCTGGATCTGAGCGCAGACCGACCCTCTAATAACTGTCTTTACCTGTACGGGAGTTCGGGGGAAATCTGGATCTGAGCGCAGACCGACCCTCTAATAATCGTCTCTACCTGTACGGGAGTTCGGGGGAAATCTGGATCTGAGCGCAGACCGACCCTCTAATAATTGTCTTTACCTGTACGGGAGTTCGGGGGAAAATCTGGATCTGAGCGCAGACCGACCCTCTAATAACCGTCTTTACCTGTACGGGAGTTCGGGGGGAAATCTGGATCTGAGCGCAGACCGACCCTCTAATAATCGTCTTTACCTGTACAGGAGTTCGGGGGAAATCTGGATCTGAGCGCAGGCCGACCCTCTAATAATCGTCTCTACCTGTACGGGAGTTCGGGGGAAATCTGGATCTGAGCGCAGCAGCCGACCCTCTAATAACCGTCTTTACCTGTACGGGAGTTTGATGGGAAATCTGGATCTGAGCGCAGACCGACCCTCTAATAACTGTCTTTACCTGTACGGGAGTTCGGGGGAAATCTGGATCTGAGCGCAGGACCGACCCTCTAATAACCGTCTTTACCTGTACGGGAGTTCGGGGGAAATCTGGATCTGAACGCAGGCCGACCCTCTAATAATCGTCTTTACCTGTACGGGAGTTCGGGGGGGAAATCTGGATCTGAGCGCAGGCCGACCCTCTAATAACCGTCTTTACCTGTACGGGAGTTCGGGGGAAATCTGGATCTGAGCGCAGACCGACCCTCTAATAACCGCCTTTACCTGTACGGGAGTTCGATGGGAAATCTGGATCTGAGCGCAGACCGACCCTCTAATAACCGTCTTTACCTGTACGGGAGTTCGGGGGAAATCTGGATCTGAGCGCAGACCGACCCTCTAATAACCGTCTTTACCTGTACGGGAGTTCGGAGAAAATCTGGATCTGAGCGCAGACCGACCCTCTAATAATCGTCTTTACCTGTACGGGAGTTTGGGGGAAATCTGGATCTGAGCGCGCAGGCCGACCCTCTAATAACCGTCTTTACCTGTACGGGAGTTCGGGGAAAATCTGGATCTGAGCGCAGACTGACACTCTAATAACCGTCTTTACCTGTACGGGAGTTCGGGGAAAATCTGGATCTGAGCGCAGACTGACACTCTAATAACCGTCTTTACCTGTACGGGAGTTTGATGGGAAATCTGGATCTGGGCGCAGACCGACCCTCTAATAATCGTCTTTACCTGTACGGGAGTTCGATGGGAAATCTGGATCTGAGCGCAGACCGACCCTCTAATAATCGTCTTTACCTGTACGAGAATTCGGGGGAAATCTGGATCTGAGCGCAGGCCAACCCTGTAATAATCGTCTTTACCTGTACGGGTAGCCGTGGTATTGGGATCTGAACACAGACAGACAGACCGTATAATAATCGTCTTTACCTGTACGGGTAGCCGTGGTATTTGGATCTGAACACAGACAGCAGCCAGCTAAAGAACAGTACCACCAGGCCCATCCCAGCCATGCACATAACTGCCAAGAGAAGAGAACAATCCGTCAGCTTTACCATTCAATACCTGGAGAACAATCCTCATCCAATCATATCCTGTGTGTGTGACTAGTCACGTCTACAGTAAGACCAAGACTCACTTTTTCTTTTTCCTATATCCATATCAGAAGTGGCGGCTTCGTGTAGAAGAACCATCCCCAACGTTACTCCACCATCTAAAAGGCAGATGTAAGGAAGAAACACTCGGCCAATCAGAATCGTCAGAAGAATAATCGTTCAGAATGGACTCCAGATTGCAGCAAATCTACATATTTATGGAGGAGGTGACGGCCCAAAACCTAAAGCAAGTGGGGCAACCAATGAGAGCCACAATGATTTGTTGTGGGCGGAGTTAGTAAACAGCTGGCCGTGCTAGGTCTATGTCTTTCCTCGATGAAGCAGGTTGGAGGTCGGTCAGATACGGTCCGTGGTTATTAAATCTGACTCGTGCAATATTTTCCTATCAGATATAATAACCAACATCTACAGCTTCATTCATTAGCATGGTTACAAATCAACATGTTAGAAGCGAAGAGAAGACCGGCTCTGACATGGCTCCATACACGGCCAGACATGGTCAAGCATCATGTCCGACACACAAGCCAGGCCAGTGAACGGCACTTTGATTTCAGTAGGGATTGGTATGGACAATGTAATTCCTCTAAACCGGTCAGAGTCCAGTCCATCTGCAGAACAGTCACTGCACCAGACGTGCCACACAAATGTTGGATATACATGTGTACCCGGCCCTGCGTGACACTTCCCGAATGATATCATACAGGGAACAATCAAATGATACAAGCAAATATTTGTGGACACCCAACCAACATACCTTGATGAGCTTGTGGGACGTCCCATTCCAAAACCATGGCCATCAATATAGAGTTCCCCCCCCTCCTCCCATGGCCTTAATATGGGATAACCTCCCCCCAACCCCCTCCCTACCCATGGCCATTATTATGGAGTTTCCCCCTCTTTGTGGCTTTAACATCCTCCACTCTTCTGGGAAGTCTTTCCACAAGATTTTGTAGGGTGTCTGTGGGAATGTGTCCCATTTGTGAAGGCAGGTACTGATGTTAGGTGAGAAGACCTGGCTCACCATCCAAACTCCACCCCAAAGGTGTTCAGTAGGGAGAGGTCAAGGCTCTGTGCAGGACACTGGAGTTTGACAGGGCTCTGTGCAGGACACCTCCATGACCTCACCCCTACTGAGCACCATTGGGGTGAGGAGACCTCATGACAGACGTGTTCCGTAGGGTTGAGGGCAGGTACTGATGTTGGGTGAGAAGACCTGGCTCACCATCCACACTCCACCCCAAAGGTGTTCAGTAGGGTTGAGGTCAGGGCTCTGTGCAGGACACTGGAGTTCCTCCATGACCTCACCCCTACTGAACACCATTGGGGTGAGGAGACCTCATGACAGACGTGTTCCGTAGGGTTGAGGGCAGGTACTGATCTTGGGTGAGAAGACCTGGCTCACCATCCACTCCACCCCAAAGGTGTTCAGTAGGGAGGTCAGGGCTCTGTGCAGGACACTGGAGTTCCTCCACACCAAACTGGTCCTCCATGTCTTTATGGAGCTGGCTTTGTACACGGGGGACAGTCATGGGGGACAGAAAAGGGTCTTCACCAAACTGGTCATCCATGTCTTTATGGAGCTGGCTTTGTACACGGGGGACAGTCATGGGGGGACAGAAAAGGGTCTTCACCAAACTGTTACCACAACGCTGGAAGAGCACAATTGTCTCCAATGTCTTTGTATGATGGAGGATTACCAGGACCCTGCACTGGGGACACCTGAGCTCCATCAATGGGAGGGGGGGTTCACAGGGGACAGCACTAACAAATGATTAGTGCATGTTTTACCCAAAATGTTACAGCGTATAACAGATGTGTATAAAGCTGATGTTTGGCTCCATACACCATTTTACACCGAGCTCCATGAAGATTTTACTCTCATGCATGCAAGTCGAATTTGCTGTGCTTCACACGTGGTCAGGCTCCTGGGCTTCAGCCATAAAAAGGATACTAAACAGCAAGACAATGTGCGTTTCTGCCACAAACTGGGCTTGGCTGCTTCCATGTATGTAACTCTGCAGGAAACACAAAAGAGGAAAAAACATTTAGAAAGAATTCCCAGGAAAGTGTCCTTACAAGAATACATCCTGAGGCCACAGAGTTAGAAAGCAAGAGATATCTACTTAATCCCATGTATTCTTAGGGCTGCCCTTTGCTTACTGCTCCCACAAACCTGTATGAAATGCACCTTCCCTACCACTAGTCCATCAGACATGGGCTTCCTTCCCTACTAACCCATCATAACGTAGGACATGGGCTTCCTTCCCAACTAGTAATCCATCAGACACGGGCTTCCTTCCCTACCACTAATCCATCGGACATGGGCTTCCTTCCCTACTAACCCATCATAACGTAGGACATGGGCTTCCTTCCCAACCAGTAATCCATCAGACATGGGCTTCCTTCCCTACCACTAATCCATCAGACATGGGCTTCCTTCCCTACTACCCATCATAACGTAGGACATGGGCTTCCTTCCCAACCAGTAATCCATCAGACATGGGCTTCCTTCCCTACCACTAATCCATCAGACATGGGCTTCATTCCCTACCACTAATCCATCAGACATGGGCTTCCTTCCTTACCACTAATCCATCAGACATGGGCTTCCTTCCCTACCACTAATCCATCAGACATGGGCTTCCTTCCTTACCACTAATCCATCAGACATGGGCTTCATTCCCTACCACTAATCCATCAGACATGGGCTTCATTCCCTACCACTAATCCATCAGACATGGGCTTCCTTCCCTACCACTAATCCATCAGACATGGGCTTCCTTCGCTACCACTAATCCATCAGACATGGGCTTCCTTCCCTACCACTAATCCATCAGACATGGGCTTCCTTCCCTACTACACGGGCTTCCTTCCCTACTAACCCATCATAACGTAGGACATGGGCTTCCTTCCCTACTAGTAATCCATCAGACATGAGCTTCCTTCCCTACTACACGGGCTTCCTTCCCTACTAACCCATCATAACGTAGGACATGGGCTTCCTTCCCAACTAGTAATCCATCAGACACGGGCTTCCTTCCCTACCACTAATCCATCAGACATGGGCTTCCTTCCCTACTACACGGGCTTCCTTCCCTACTAACCCATCATAACTTAGGACATGGGCTTCCTTCTCAACCAGTAATCCATCAGACATGGGCTTTCTTCCCTAACCACTAATCCATCAGACATGGGCTTCCTTCCCTACCACTAATCCATCAGACATGGGCTTCCTTCCCTACCACTAATCCATCAGACATGGGCTTCCTTCCCTACCACTAATCCATCAGACATGGGCTTCATTCCCTACCACTAATCCATCAGACATGGGCTTCATTCCCTACCACTAATCCATCAGACATGGGCTTCCTTCCCTACCACTAATCCATCAGACATGGGCTTCCTTCCCTACCACTAATCCATCAGACATGGGCTTCCTTCCCTACCACTAATCCATCAGACATGGGCTTCCTTCCCTACCACTAATCCATCAGACATGGGCTTCCTTCCCTACTACTAATCCATCAGACATGGGCTTCCTTCCCTACTACACGGGCTTCCTTCCCTACTAACCCATCATAACATAGGACATGGGCTTCCTTCCCTACTAGTAATCCATCAGACATGGGCTTCCTTCCGTACTACACAGGCTTCCTTCCCTACTAACCCATCATAACATAGGACATGGGCTTCCTTCCCAACCAGTAATCCATCAGACATGGGCTTCCTTCCCTACCACTAATCCATCAGACAGGGGCTTCCTTCCCTACTACACGGGCTTCCTTCCCTACCACTAATCCATCAGACATGGGCTTCCTTCCCTACTAACCCATCATAACGTAGGACATGGGCTTCCTTCCCTACCACTAATCCATCAGACACGGGCTTCCTTCCCTACCACTAATCCATCAGACACGGGCTTCCTTCCCTACCACTAATCCATCAGACACGGGCTTCCTTCCCTACCACTAATCCATCAGACACGGGCTTCCTTCCCTACCACTAATCCATCAGACATGGGCTTCCTTCCCTACCACTAATCCATCAGACATGGGCTTCCTTCCCTACCACTAATCCATCAGACATGGGCTTCCTTCCCTACCACTAATCCATCAGACATGGGCTTCCTTCCCTACCACTAATCCATCAGACATGGGCTTCCTTCGCTACCACTAATCCATCAGACATGGGCTTCCTTCCCCTACTACTAATCCATCAGACATGGCTTCCTTCCTACTACACGGGCTTCCTACCTACTAACCCATCATAACGTAGGACATGGGCTTCCTTCCCTACCACTAATCCATCAGACACGGGCTTCCTTCCCTACCACTAATCCACCAGACACGGGCTTCCTTCCCTACTAGTAATTCATCAGACACAGGCTTCCTTCCCTACCACTATCCATCAGACACAGGCTTCCTTCCCTACCACTAATCCATCAGACACAGGCTTCCTTCCCTACTATACGGGCTTCCTTGCCTACTAGCAATCCATCAGAACATAGGACATGGGCTTCCTTTCATATTACTAACTCATTAAAAAAAAAAAAAAAAAATCAGGACATGGGCTTTTCTGCTCAAACACAGAATGTACACAGGAGAGGTGTGCGCAGAGTTCAGGTGAACTTGTACTTCAGTTTAGGTGTTTTGTCTATTCGATACCTCAGACTGCCTGCTATTACCTTGATAGGCCAGAGACAGCTATGCTGTGTCCTTCAACTCTGTAAAAAGCATTTTGGCCACACTTCTCCTACGGGCCGCGTAGCGGCCATACTTCTCCTACGGGCCGCGTAGCGGCCATACTTCTCCTACGGGCCGCGTAGCGGCCATACTTCTCCTACGGGCCGCGTAGCGGCCATACTTCTCCTACGGGCCGCGTAGCGGCCATACTTCTCCTACGGGCCACATAGTGGAATTTTTCTGCATCTGTCACCCAGATTTAGCCAAGAGCGGGCTAATGCCCACTGCTGGCTGACGTTATAGAACTGCTGCAGACTCGGGGGGGATCCTGACAATGATGTCGGGATCCAACAGATGCCTTACTGGCAGCTGGCTCAGCCTCTCATTGTGCCGCTGACAACCTGAGCCAGACACTCCCGCCCCCTCTCCTGCCCGGCTCTCCAGTCAGTGTTGGAGGGGCAGAGCAGAGAGAGTCACTTATCAGAAGACAGTATAGTCTATTGGATGAGCATGTTCTGTCCTGGGCAGAAGATATGTGCAGTCTATCTCTGACATGCGGAGAATCCCGCCCTCTCACAGCTCCTCAGAGAAGACGTTCAGAAGTACTTACCACTTGGCCGGTATGTGGGTTCTTGTGTGCATACGGCGGTCCCCGGATGTGATTCCACATCTGTCCAGACGTCATCGCCAACACAAAACACTGGCAGGAACAAAACACAGAGGGGGATGGGAATTACATTCATTGTGTTCACCACAAGGAGTATATTCTGAATACAGGACAATTGTGACGGGGTGAAGAAACCTAGAATTACCCAAAACAAAAGTGACGAGGATTTGTCATTGCCTCAAAACACCTTTTATGAAAGAAGACTCAGACCATCGGGAGCTACAGAAAATTCCAATATTCTGCTATGGGTGAGTATTAGTGGATGGGTGTTCAGACAAACACCAACTGTACTGCCTGATACATCCTGATCCATCATCAGTCACACCACATCCCCCACACAACTGCCATTCAATCCTGATCCAGTATTAGTCATACAACCTTCCTTAAATCTTTACACAGTGACAGGAATGGACAATATTTTACGGATGGCTTCATGTTTGTGGTTTCAGGAATAAAACACAAACCAGCGTGTGGGAAAAAACTAATCATCCAAGACTTAAGGTGGCCACAAAAGGCCTGGAAATTACAAACAAGACTTCCAAATCTTGGAGGCCAAATCTCCAAGTCGAGGACATTCCCTCCAAGTCTTGGAGGCCAAGTCTTGGAGGCCAAATCTCGAGGACATTCCCTCCAAGTCTTGGAAGCAAATCTTGAAAGACATTCCCTCCAAGTCTTGGAAGCAAATCTTGAAAGACATCGCCTCCCAAGTTTTGGGGCCAAATCTGAGGGACATCTCCTCCAAGTATTGGGGCCAAATCTGCTGGACTTCTCCTCCAAGTATTGGGGCCAAATCTGCTGGACTTCTCCTCCAAGTATTGGGGCCAAATCTGAGGGACATCTCCTCCCAAGTTTTGGGGCCAAATCTGAGGGACATCTCCTCCAAGTATTGGGGCCAAATCTGAGGGACATCTCCTCCAAGTATTGGGGCCAAATCTGAGGGACATCTCCTCCAAGTATTGGGGCCAAATCTGCTGGACTTCTCCTCCAAGTATTGGGGCCAAATCTGCTGGACTTCTCCTCCAAGTTTTGGGGCCAAATCTGCGGGACATCTCCTCCAAGTATTGGGGCCAAATCTGAGGGACATCTCCTCCAAGTATTGGGGCCAAATCTGAGGGACATCTCCTCCAAGTATTGGGGCCAAATCTGAGGGACATCTCCTCCAAGTATTGGGGCCAAATCTGAGGGACATCTCCTCCAAGTATTGGGGCCAAATCTGAGGGACATCTCCTCCAAGTATTGGGGCCAAATCTGCTGGACATCTCCTCCAAGTATTGGGGCCAAATCTGCTGGACATCTCCTCCAAGTATTGGGGCCAAATCTGAGGGACATCTCCTCCAAGTATTGGGGCCAAATCTGAGGGACATCTCCTCCAAGTATTGGGGCCAAATCTGCTGGACATCTCCTCCAAGTATTGGGGCCAAATCTGCTGGACATCTCCTCCAAGTATTGGGGCCAAATCTGAGGGACATCTCCTCCAAGTATTGGGGCCAAATCTGAGGGACATCTCCTCCAAGTATTGGGGCCAAATCTGAGGGACATCTCCTCCAAGTATTGGGGCCAAATCTGAGGGACATCTCCTCCAAGTATTGGGGCCAAATCTGAGGGACATCTCCTCCAAGTATTGGGGCCAAATCTGAGGGACATCTCCTCCAAGTATTGGGGCCAAATCTGAGGGACATCTCCTCCAAGTATTGGGGCCAAATCTGAGGGACATCTCCTCCAAGTATTGGGCCCAAATCTGCTGGACATCTCCTCCAAGTATTGGGGCCAAATCTGAGGGACATCTCCTCCAAGTATTGGGGCCAAATCTGAGGGACATCTCCTCCAAGTATTGGGGCCAAATCTGCTGGACATCTCCTCCAAGTATTGGGGCCAAATCTGCTGGACATCTCCTCCAAGTATTGGGGCCAAATCTGAGGGACATCTCCTCCAAGTATTGGGGCCAAATCTGAGGGACATCTCCTCCAAGTATTGGGGCCAAATCTGCTGGACATCTCCTCCAAGTATTGGGGCCAAATCTGCTGGACATCTCCTCCAAGTATTGGGGCCAAATCTGAGGGACATCTCCTCCAAGTATTGGGGCCAAATCTGAGGGACATCTCCTCCAAGTATTGGGGCCAAATCTGAGGGACATCTCCTCCAAGTATTGGGGCCAAATCTGAGGGACATCTCCTCCAAGTATTGGGGCCAAATCTGAGGGACATCTCCTCCAAGTATTGGGGCCAAATCTGAGGGACATCTCCTCCAAGTATTGGGGCCAAATCTGAGGGACATCTCCTCCAAGTATTGGGGCCAAATCTGAGGGACATCTCCTCCAAGTATTGGGGCCAAATCTGAGGGACATCTCCTCCAAGTATTGGGCCCAAATCTGCTGGACATCTCCTCCAAGTAATGGGGAAATCTTGACCTCCTAGCAGAGTAGTGCATGCCTCTGATTTTCAGGGTAGTGATGAATGCCTCTGAAGTCCCATTCTAGTAGAATTACAGGTACACTACAACCACGAATAAATTATACAAAACGTAAGATACCAAGGCAGCCAAGGCCCATCCAGTCTTGTTATACAGGAAGTCGAGGTTGCTTCTTCTTAAATACACCAATCCACCAATCACAGCCAAGAGCAGGCCCAGCATCAACGGACCAGCATAATTCGGAGGTCTTATTACACGGATCTGTGAAAGACAAAATAAAAAAATAAGAATATATATAATGAAAAATGAGAGAAAACATGTAAACTGTTTTCCATTTAGGAGCCCAAATTAGAATATCAAAAAGAAGTTCAGCCCGTTTATCCTTGTAACAAAATGTTGACCCAAACCAAAGCATGCTGGGCTCTCCAGTGAGAAAGCCTAGCACTGTCTTCTGTCTGTCACTCGTTTCGGGCTGTCTGGAGAGGGGGAGTGTAACTCTCCTCTGGCTCATGAATGTCTTTTAGCCCAATAGAGACCGTATGAGATCATAAGTGGCTGCGAACCAAAAATATGAGACATCTGTAGGCAATGCTAAAAAAAAAACAAAAACAAAAAAAAACAACCCATATTTTTGGTAACAAAAATAATGAAAAATGTCCTCCAGCCTTTCCGAGGCTCTGCAGACTAAACTTACATTGACATCGGTCCGGTCTGCGATCCACCGAGCGATCTGTTCTGCAGCAAATCCTCGAACCTGCAGCTCATACGTGTCGCCCCTCTTGGGTTTCCCTTTAGGAGGGAAGTGAATGAAGGTTGGTGCAGAGTTCATGTTTAACTATGGGAAGAAGACCGCAAAAGAGGGAAAACGTCAAGAGAAGTAATTGTGTGCATTCCAAGTCAGTCATGTGAATATTCTAGTACCGCGTATCAGACATCTGATTGGATAAATATATATCACATACACGTATACACTCACAACGCAGCACACCTGACGTATCTAATGCCCAGGCTTGACATCTGCTACCATTAGAATATTCTATTGGCACCCCCATTCCACCAGCGGATACCCCTGAAATCCCAAAAGCAGCTATGGACGTTTTACAGGCCAGCGGTCACCTGGGGTAAGGGGTGTATGGTCATCCCCATGTAACAATGGTGAACTGTAACTCCACCAATACAAAAAGCCGCCCTACACAGCGGAACCATTGCCTCCCAGATAGGTTACAGTCAACCCAACTGCTGGTCTCCAGTGGGATCGATCCCCCTATAGGGGATTGGAGGGAGGGGAGAGTGAAGGGGATTGGAGGGTGGGAAGGGTGAAGGGGATTGGAGGGTGGGAAGGAAGGGTGACGGAGATTGGAGGTGGGAAGGGTGAAGGGGATTGGAGGGAGGGAGGGAGGGAGGGAAGGAAGGGTGAAGGGGATTGGAGGGAGGGGAGGGTGACCGGGATTGGAGGGAGGGAAGAGTGACGGGGATTGGAGGGAGGGAAGGAAGAATGAAGGGAGGGAAGGAAGAATGAAGGGGATTGGAGGGAGGGAAGGAAGAATGAGGGGATTGGAGGGAGGGAAGGATGAATGAAGGGGATTGGAGGGAGGGAAGGATGAATGAAGGGGATTGGAGGGAGGGAAGGAAGAATGAAGGGGATTGGAGGGAGGGAAGAATGAAGGGGATTGGAGGGAGGGAAGGAAGAATGAAGGGGATTGGAGGGAGGGAAGGAAGAATGAAGGGGATTGGAGGGAGGGAAGGAAGAATGAAGGGGATTGGAGGGAGGGAAGGAAGAATGAAGGGGATTGGAGGGAGGGAAGGAAGAATGAAGGGGATTGGAGGGAGGAAAGGAAGAATGAAGGGGATTGGAGGGAGGAAAGGAAGAATGAAGGGGATTGGAGGGAGGAAAGGAAGAATGAAGGGGATTGGAGGGAGGAAAGGAACAATGAAGACTATTGGAGGGAGGAAAGGAAGAATGAAGGGGATTGGAGGGAGGGAAGGAAGAATGAAGGGGATTGGAGGGAGGGAAGGAAGAATGAAGGGGATTGGAGGGAGGGAAGGAAGAATGAAGGGGATTGGAGGGAGGGAAGGAAGAATGAAGGGGAATGGAGGGAGGGAAGGAAGAATGAAGGGGATTGGAGGGAGGGAAGGAAGAATGAAGGGGGGATTGGAGGGAGGGAAGGAAGAATGAAGGGGATTGGAGGGAGGGAAGGAAGAATGAAGGGGATTGGAGGGAGGGAAGGAAGAATGAAGGGGAATGGAGGGAGGGAAGGAAGAATGAAGGGGAATGGAGGGAGGGAAGGAAAAATGAAGGGGACTGGAGGGAGGGAAGGAAGAATGAAGGGGATTGGAGGGAGGGAAGGATGAATGAAGGGGACTGGAGGGAGGGAAGGAAGAATGAAGGGTATTGGAGGGAGGGAAGGAAGAATGAAGGGGACTGGAGGGAGGGAAGGATGAATGAAGGGGACTGGAGGGAGGGAAGGAAGAATGAAGGGGATTGGAGGGAGGGAAGGAAGAATGAAGGGGATTGGAGGGAAGGAAGAATGAAGGGGATTGGAGGGAAGGAAGAATGAAGGGTATTGGAGGGAGGGAAGGAAGAATGAAGGGGATTGGAGGGAGGGAAGAATGAAGGGGATTTACCATTTGGAAAACATCAGATCCTTCATCAAAGTCCACCATTGCGAAGAAGATTCTGTTGGTGAAGGCGCTGGAGTAGCGCCAGGAATTGGCCAGAATCTGGTATTCTTCATCCGCTTGTCTAATAGAGGAAAGAGAGGAATATGTGAGAGAAGTGGGAGGTCACATGTATGGAGTCAGACCGCCCTGGTATCTGATCCCGCCACACCTAATCCCTACACCCGGCCAGGAGGGGGCGTGGTCGCAGCGATCCCTTCTACAGGGACAATGACAGAATCATATCGGGGAGATCTCTCCATCAAACAAACCAATCCTGTGAGCAACGAAAACCAACTACCCCTCTAAGGAACACATTTCCAGAAAGCCTCATACCTCCCCAATGGCACAAAGCCTCATACCTCCCCAATGGCACAAAGCCTCATACCTCCCCAATGGCACAAAGCCTCATACCTCCCCAATGGCACAAAGCCTCAACCTCCCCAATGACACAAAGCCTCATACCTCCCCAATGGCACAAAGCCTCATACCTCCCCAATGACACAAAGCCTCATACCTCCCCAATGACACAAAGCCTCATACCTCCCCAATGGCACAAAGCCTCATACCTCCCCAATGGCACAAAGCCTCATACCTCCCCAATGACACAAAGCCTCATACCTCCCCAATGACACAAAGCCTCATACCTCCCCAATGACACAAAGCCTCATACCTCCCCAATGGCACAAAGCCTCATACCTCCCCAATGGCACAAAGCCTCATACCTCCCCAATGACACAAAGCCTCATACCTCCCCAATGGCACAAAGCCTCATACCTCCCCAATGGACAAACATACCTCCCCAATGACACCTCATACCTCCCCAATGACACAAAGCCTCATACCTCCCCAATGACACAAAGCCTCATACCTCCCCAATGACACAAATCGATGTGCAGCGCTGTAACGTATACCAACGAACATAAATACAGCGATACAAAGTGTCATCTTCCTGCATCAAATCAGTAATTCATATATTCTGAGCTGAAAAAATCATTTGCTACATTCATGAAGGACATAAAATCTACATCAGCCATATAAAGCTGTGATTAAAAAAATATAAAGTCCGTGAAAACCAGGAATTCAGTCGTCCTTGTAGAGCGCCGTGTCGTTATACGGGCTCATTGCTAAGCACATCACATGGTATGCGGTTCTGATAGAAACATGGCGCCTTGTACGGCCTCCTTCACACGCGCGTTCCCCATGTCTGTTTTCCATCTGTCCGCTGACGGAGGAAAAACGGACACCCATGTATTTCTATGGACTAGCGGATGTAAACGGATGATCATCTGTATACATCTGTTTATGTCTGTTTTACAGGCAAAAAACGGATCTAAATGGACATAAACGGCAAAAAAAAAATGGATGTAAATGGACATAAACGGATCTAAAATGGACAAAGAACAGATGTAAATGAACATAAATGGGCGAAAAATGGATGTAAGACAAACAGATGAAAAACAGATGTAAATGGACAAACTGATGAAAAACGGATGTAAATAGACAAAAACGGATGAAAAACAGATGTAAATGGACAAACTGACGAAAAACGGATGTAAATAGACAAAAACGGATGAAAAACAGATGTAAATGGACAAACTGACGAAAAACGGATGTAAATAGACAAAAACGGATGAAAAACAGATGTAAATGGACATAAACTGACGAAAAATGGATATAAATGGACAAAAAACGGATGAAAAACATATAAACGGACAAAAGATGGATGTAAATGGACATAAACGGATGAAAAACAGATGTAAATGGACATAAACTGACGAAAAATGGATATAAATGGACAAAAAACGGATGAAAAAACATATAAACGGACACAAAAGATGGATGTAAATGGACATAAACGGATGAAAAAAGGAAATAAATGGACAAAAGACAAATGCAAATGGGCATAAACTGACGGAAAGCGGATGTAAATGGACAAAATCGGATGTAAATGGACATAAAAGGATGAAAAACGAATGTAAATGGACAAACGGATGTAAATGGCCGAAAAAACGGACGTAAATGGACATAAACGGCAAAAAAAAATGGATGTAAATGGACAAAAAAAAAAGGATCTAAAATGGACAAACAGATGTAAATGAACATAAATGGGCGAAAAAATGGATGTAAGACAAACAGATGAAAAACAGATGTAAATGGACAAACTGACGAAAAATGGATATAAATGGACAAAAACGGATGAAAAACATATAAACGGACAAAAGATGGATGTAAATGGACATAAACGGACGAAAAAAGGAAATAAATGGACAAAAGACAAATGCAAATGGACTGATAAATGGTGGACATAAACGAATGTAAACTGATCTAAAATGGATGAAAAACCACGGAAAGTCATAAAACCCATGTGAAAGGACCCTAATAGAGTCTAATAAGCGGTCTACAACGTGCTTTGCTGGGTTTTTTTGCCTTCCTGTGGATCAACTGTGGGTGTAGGAATATAATTTTTTTTTTAAATGGTTGAACTGGATGGAGTTTTTGTAACTATGTAAATGGACAAAAAAAATGGATGAACAAAGTGACGTAAACTGATGAAAAACGGATGTAAACTGATCTGTTTTTTTCTGGAAAAAACGTGACTAAACTGATGAAAACCACGGAAAGCCCGTGTGAAAGGACCCTAATAGAGTCTAGCGGTCTACAACAAAATGTCATTGGCAGGGTATTTATATAGTCTGAGTGGGGCACGATCCAATCATTCTCCCTGAGGAAGTCATGTGTGCGGGGTGACGAAACGCGTTTGGGGTGGGGCTAGTTGATGCCGAGATGCCTGGAAGGAAAGATTAGCGGTGAGAGCGATACTGCACAGGACCGCTACTTCCAGTGCACACGCTGTATGGATCAGGTGGACGATCTGGCTCATCACCACCCGCCACACGCACCGAGCTACGCCACGCACACCGCCACGACACACCGAGCTACGCCACGCACACCGCCACACCGAGCTACGCCACGCACACCGCCACGAGCTACGCTACGCCACACCGAGCTACGCCACGCACACCGAGCTACACCACGCCACACCGAGCTACACCACGCACACCGCCACACCGAGCTACACCACGCACACCGAGCTACACCACGCACACCGAGCTACACCACGCACACCGCCACACCGAGCTAACATTAACCACGCACACACCGCCACACCGAGCTACACCACGCACACCGCCACACCGAGCTACACCACGCACACCGCCACACCGAGCTACACCACGCACACCGCCACACCGAGCTACACGCCACACCCGCCACACCGAGCTACACCACGACACACACCGAGCTACACCACGCACACCGCCACACCGAGCTACGCCACGCACACCGCCACACCGAGCTACACCACGCACACCGCCACACTGAGCTACACACCGCACATTGACATGTTGGGGGGGGGCGGGGCATATTACACAGACATGTTGGGGGCGGGGCATGTTACACAGACATTGTGGGGGCGGGGTATATTACACAGACATTGTGGGGGCGGGGTATATTACACAAACATTGTGGGGGCGGGGTATATTATATTCATGTTGGGGGGGAGGGGTATATTACACAGACATGTTTGGGGGGCGGGTATATTACACAGGGGCGGGGTCTCCTCACTTGCACACTACACACTGGCGGTGGGGGGGGTATATTACACAGGGGGCGGGGTTTCCTTACTTGCACACGACACACTAGCGGCAGGGGGGAGCAGGGTATATTACACAGGGGGCGGGGGTCAGGGGGGCTCCTCACTTGCACACTACACACTGGCGGTGGGGGCGGGGTATATTACACAGGGGCGGGGTCTCCTTACTTGCACACGACACACTGGCAGGGGGCGGGGTATATTACACAGGGGGCGGGGTCCTACTTGCACACGACACACTGGCGGTGGGGGCGGGGTATATTACACAGGGGGCGGGGTTCCTTACTTGCACACGACACACTGGCAGGGGGCGGGTATATTACACAGGGGGCGGGTCTCCTTACTTGCACACGACACACTGGCAGGGGGCGGGTATATTACACAGGGGCGGGGTCTCCTTACTTGCACACGACACACTGGCAGGGGGCGGGGTATATTACACAGGGGCGGGGTCTCCTTACTTGCACACGACACACTGGCAGGGGCGGAGTATATTACACAGGGGGCGGGGTCTCCTTACTTGCACACGACACACTGGCGGTGGGGGCGGGGTATATTACAACAGGGGGGCGGGGTCTCCTTACTTGCACACGACACACTGGCAGGGGGCGGAGTATATTACACAGGGGGCGGGGTCTCCTTACTTGCACACACAGGGGGCGCGTGGTCTCCACTGGCGGTGGGACTGCAGGGCGGTGAACATGACGACAACGGAATAATTTCTGGGCGGAGCTTTGATGAGACGTCTAAATTTATCCCCATTCATCCGGATGACGGGTCTCTTCCCGGCCCAATCCATCAGCTGACCGACCTTCTCCGACAACACCATCTGAGGGGGAGACACATGGGGGGGGTCCAGTCCCACACAGATCTGCAGCCCGTCCAATCCACACAGATCTGCATGGAGGAGGTCATCCAATCCACACAGACATGGAGAGGCCCGTCCAATCCACACAGATCTGCATGGAGGAGGTCCATCCACACAGATCTGCATGGAGGAGGTCAGTCCAATCCACACAGATCTGCATGGAGGAGGTCAGTCCAATCCACACAGATCTGCATGGAGGAGGTCAGTCCAATCCATACATCAGTTTACCTACTTACGACCTTCCTGGGACCATAGTTAACCCCTTCACCAGAAGGTTTCCCCCTGCATGACCCGGACATATTTTACTATTCAGCACTGCGCTACTTTACAGTGTTACTAAAGTCTCTCTCTATATATATGATTAATATAGCAAACCTGTCCTACTTCCCACCTCTGTAATGGCTTATCACAGACCGCCCCAATTCTAGGGTCCCCCATCGGCCATCTTGGCCCCTCCTCTTCTCGGGTCCCCCGCCAGAGGCCACCCCCATTCTGCAATCAGCATCCAGCTGAACACAGCATGGCAACTCCTCCCACTATAAGCCTCTTCCCCAAACAATGACACTCCCTGCTATAAGCCCCCCCCCTAACAAGGAAACTCATAAGCCCCACCCCCTGCTATAAGCTCCACCCCCTAACAATGATACTCCTTGCTATAAGCCCCACCCCCCCTGACACTCCCTGCTATAAGCCCCACCCCCCAAGATAACTCATAAGCCCACACCCCTGACACTCCTGCTCTAAGCTCCACCCCCCCAATGACACTCCCTGCTATAAGCCCCACCCCCCAAGGAAACTCATAAGCCACACCCCTGACACTCCCTGCTATAAAGCTCCACCCCCTAACAATGACACTCCCTGCTATAAGCCCCACCCCCCAAGGAAACTCATAAGCCACACCCCTGACACATCCTGCTCTAAGCTCCACCCCCTAACAATGACACTCCCTGCTATAAGCTCCACCCCATAAAAAGGAAACTCCCTGCTATAAGGCCCATCCATTAAAAATGACACTCCCATTATAAGCCCCACCCCCCAACAATGACACTCCCATTATAAGCCCCCCCACCCCCCCAACAATGACACACTCCATTATAAGCCCCACCCCCAACAATGACACTCCCATTATAAGCCCCACCCCCAACAATGACACTCCCACTATAAGTCCCTCCAACTACCAATGACTTTCCCTGCTATAAGCCCCACCCCTGACAATGTCACCCCCTCCCCCCCCACTATAAGTGTGGGCACCTCTCAACAAGCCTGCCCACTAAAAGCCCTGCCCCCTGACACATGCCCCGCCTCCTTATAAGGCACGCCCCCGGTAAATGCCCCGCACACTCCCCCCTCACCTCCTTCTTCTTCTGGCCCTCGGACACCGCCCCCGCACAGGACCAGAACCATCCCGGCCACCAGCACTGCTCTGCCCGCCGCCTCCATCACTCCGAGAAACTTCCCTCACCGCCGGCGGCGTCCTACGTCATGCCGTCCGGGAAGAAGGTGCTGCTCCTTGATTGGAGGACGCCGGCACACACCAGCCAATCACCGGCCAGTCCGTTGTTACACTTCTATTCGTCGGCGGACAGGTGGGCGGAGCCGCGCTGACAGCTCCATCCCTTCCCCGAACACAGAGTGGGCGGGGCTGTGGGCTGAAAGCGGCCAATCCGCTCCTGAGCCGGGACTGGGTGCCTGCACTTCCCGCCCACTGCTCCCTCCGTCCAATCAGGAAGTCTCATGGCAGAACTACAACTCCCGGGGTGGGGCTAAGAGGCGGATATCCGGCGCCGCCATTTTGTTTTTCTCCATTCGTGTGAAGGGTAAGACGAGGAAGAAGAAGAGATGTTCGCCCTGGTGAGGTCTGCGCTGTCCGTGTCCGGTGAGTGGGGGGGGGGGCTCAGGGACAGAACTGAGGGGGAGCACCAATCACATTGCAGCTTTCATCTTCCCGGAGAATGGAGGCTGGGCTGACCCATTCCTCATCTCTGTGCCTCCTCCATGCGTCCCTCTGTGCCTCCTCCATGCGTCCTCCATGTGTCCTCTGTGCCTCCTCCATGTGTCCGGGGTGACGTTGCATTATTGATGGTTGGAGCCCCCACGGGACTCTGACAAACCGGGAGACTGACGGCGTTTGATTCCTGTGCAGAGATGATCCGCCCCATGCAGTGCGGACACATGGAGGATGGATTCCGTGCCGAGGACCGATCGCCAACGCATTCCTGACAGCCAAACAAAACGCGGCAGATACATCCGGGGTGTGACCTGTCCGGGGCGATGGTGGTACAGTCCCCGCCCCCTTCCCCACACAACACAGAGGTGACCCGTCCGGGGCGATGGTGGTACAGTCCCCGCCCCCTTCCCCTCCCCCACACAACACAGCGAGGTGACCCGTCTGGGGCGATGGTGGTACAGTCCCCCGCCCCCTTCCCCTCCCCCACAGAACGCAGCAAGGTGACCCGTCCGGGGCGATGGTGGTACAGTCCCCGCCCCCCTTCCCCTCCCCCACACAACACAGCGAGGTGACCCGTCCGGGGCGATGGTGGTACAGTCCCCCCCCCTTCCCCTCCCCTCCCCCACACAACACAGCGAGGTGACCCGTCCGGGGCGATGGCGGTACAGTCCCCGCCCCCTTCCCCTCCCCCCACAGAACGCAGCAAGGTGACCCGTCCGGGGCGATGGGCGGTACAGTCCCCGCCCCCTTCCCCTCCCCACACAACACAGCGAGGTGACGGGGCGATGGAGGTACTGTTCCCCTCCCCCACACAGCACAGCGAGGTGACCCGTCCGGGGCGATGGCGGTACAGTCCCCGCCCCCTTCCCCTCCCCCACACAACACAGCGAGGTGACCCGTCCGGGGCGATGGCGGTACAGTCCCCCCGCCCCTTCCCCCCCCCCACACAACACAGCGAGGTGACCCCCGTCCCCGGGGCTGGATGGTGGTACAGTCCCCGCCCCCTTCCCCTCCCCCCCACACAACACAGCGAGGTGACCCGTCCGGGGCGATGGTGGTACAGAGTTTCTGCACTCCCTGAAATGCACCAAAATCTGCTTCAGTGTGAGCTGGTGGGGGGGGATGTGATTGGAGGACAACCAATCACATCTCAGTGCCCCCTCCCCCCTCCTCCAGTCATATATACAGATCCGGGTGCAGGACGGCTCATCGTACAGATCTGGGGAGACCACCTCAGACTGGAGGAGGGGAGATCCAACCCAGGAAGTCCTAGATGATTGGCAGGGGGAGGAGTCAGCCAACACTCTGACCAGTGCAGAGCCTATCGCGGAGTCAGACCCCAGACCTTCTCACCAACTTGTGACCAAAGGACCGGCCAATCTAAAACCGCGCTGTCACATGTGTAACAATACCACGCCCATCTGCACCCTGCACAACGATTTTCCAGCTAATTGGACCACAATCGATGTACCGGCAGCCTGGGAGCGATTGTTACTGGGTCACGTTAATTACGCAATTAACCCTTCACACTGCCACCACCTCCTTTTTGTACAGAGAAAGAGGAAACTCAGCGATATCAGCAATAACACTCTGATGGTTGGATAATCGTCTGTATACCACAGTCACCGCAGGCAGATGTATGCAGAAGTTTCAAACACACACAGTAGCGCTCTTCAGAGACGGATTCTTAGTTTGCATTAAAGAGCTTTAGAAACATTTCAACACTTTCAGATAATAAGATTTATTACTAAAAAGGTCAAAATGGTGCAATAAAAGTATTTACAGAAAAGATGTAACCAATATATATATATATGGGGAGCAATAACACAACGGAGAGATAACAGAAGTTCAGGGAGGTAGAATACTTGCAGAAGTCCTGCTTTAGGCAGATTCAGGGGTCCGAACAAAAGGGTCCCGTTCTCCCAAAGTTGGTTCCAATGTTAAAAGGGAGAATCTCTTCATCTTACCTCTCTCAGGCCTGGCAGCCTGTTTTCTAGTCCCCCAGCAGGGAGTGTCTCTGAAGCCAAGGGCCAATCGCCTCGTGTGGGGGAGGGGGTTAGGCGGAGACCCCGGCTGTGACCCAAATCCCTCACAAGTCCACACCATGGTCAGTAACCTTCCATAGGTACATGTAGCATCCTATCCACTGGCAGGATAATATGCAGAATCATCTGCAGAACGTCCAGACATAACATATGACATATCTGCCTGTGACGGTTACAGAGATATCGCTTCCTGCTCTCGGGTGGACGTTATCTAGGGGTGTAAGGTATCAGGTGACTCGTATTAAAATGTCCTACCTGAATATATGTTTTGTTCCATTGTACTTTGTTCCTGCCGGGAGTTATGGATTTGTATGAAAAAGTGGTTTCAGTGGAACGTACGTTTTACTGCCACTCCAGAATACTTTCATGTCCAGTGACTGGCGGGTTTATAGCTTTACGATCCGGCCAGAGCAGGAGCCTGCCAGACATCATGGAACCAGCTAATTGAGTTTACAACCATGAAGTGTATCCAGCTGTGCACTCCTGAACTCAGCGCACACACAGACCACATGCCATTCAACAAAAAGGGAGGGGGACTGATTTGGAGTGAGAATGACACAAGATGGAGGGTCTTGGCAAAATGGATGTCCGCGTCCATATATGTGCGCACAATTGCTACACAACACCCCCCCCCCCCAACCTCTCCAACCAGTGCAGAGCTGTCCCCCCCCCCCCATATCCTCCTCAATGACCGTCCCCTCTCACTTCTTAGCCTCTTGGCAGAGATGGTGTACTGTCCTGTTCAGGGGGTGAGGGGGAGGATCTGGCATTAGTCTCCATCCAGGGGGTGAGGGGGGGGCTGGCATCCTCTGGCCATCCATTCTGGTCCCTCTGTAGTGCATCCTTGGGTAAATGGGGGGTCCTGAGGATCTTGGCATCCTGGGAAAGAACTAGAGGATCTGGCATCCGGGGGGGGGGGGGGGATCTGGCAACGGGGGGGGGGGGGGGGGGGGGGATCTGGCATCCAGGGGGTGGGGGGGATCTGGGGGGGGGAGGGGGGAAGGATTCCTCAGGTGTGAAGGGTGGAGAGCGAGCTCAGTGATGGTCATCCCTCTGCTCTCTCCTCCATTCAGAGTGATTCTTGTATGAAGGATCCCCCCCCCCCATGTATGTGGCCCCCCCCTGCTGCCATCACATCTGACCCCCCCATGTATGAGGCCCGCCCCCTGCTGCCATCACATCTGACCCCCCCCATGTATGAGGCCCGCCCCCCTGCTGCCATCACATCTGACCCCCCCATGTATGAGGCCCCGCCCCCTGCTGCCATCATCTGACCCTCCCCCCCCCCCCCCCCCCCCCATATCTGTTCTCTGCCCCGTGAGGGAAATGTGAATCTGCCAGAAACTGATCTGTCCGTTTCCTGCCTTCTGGACTCTGAACTACAAATCCCTCCCCCTCCTGATCCTTTGTGTTCTGTGACTTTGCAGGCCGAGGTGTACAGAGAACCCTCACCAGACGGACCCATCACAAGGCTGAACCCAACTTCCATGACAAGTATGGGAACCTCGTCCTGGCGTCCGGGACCGCCTTCTGTGTCGGCATCTGGGGTTATGTGAGTGTCCCCCTCCCGACCATTGCATCACGGGGGGGGGGGGGGGTATAATGTATACTAGGAGTGTCCCCCTCCGACCATTGCATCACCGGGGGGGGGGGGTATAATGTATACTAGGAGTGTCCCCCTCCGACCATTGCATCACGGGGGGGGGGGGGGGGGGGGGGGGGGGTATTAATATATACTAGGAGTGTCCCCCTCTGACCATTGCATCACCGGGGGGGGGGGGGTATAAATGTATACTAGGAGTGTCCCCCTCCGACCATTGCATCACCGGGGGGGGTATAATATATACTAGGAGTGTCCCCTCCGACCATTGCATCCGACCATTGCATCACGGGGGGGGGGGGTATAATGTATACTAGGAGTGTCCCCCTCCGACCATTGACCAATGCATCACGGGGGGGGGGGGGGGGGGGGGGTATAATGTATACTAGGAGTGTCCCCCTCCGACCATTGCATCATCACGGGGGGGGGGGGGGGTATAATGTATACTAGGAGTGTCCCCCTCCGACCATTGCATCACGGGGGGGGGGGGTATAATGTATACTAGGAGTGTCCCCCTCCGACCATTGCATCACGGGGGGGGGGGGGGGGGGGGGGGGGGGGGGTATAATGTATACTAGGAGTGTCCCCCTCCGACCATTGCATCATCACCGGGGGGGGGGTATAATGTATACTAGGAGTGTCCCCCTCCGACCATTGCATCATGGGGGGGGGGGGGGGGGGGGTATAATGTATACTAGGAGTGTCCCCCTCCGACCATTGCATCACGGGGGGGGGGGGGGATATAATGTATACTAGGAGTGTCCCCCTCCGACCATTGCATCATGGGGGGGTCCGGGGGGGGGGGGGGGGGGATATAATGTGTACTAGGAGTGTCCCCTCCGAGCAATCACGGGGGGGGGGTACTAGACTTATTAGTGTCCCCCTCCGACCATTGCATGGGGGGGATGGTGGGGGGGGGGTATAATGTATTGTTATACTAGGAGTGTCCCCCTCCGACCATTGCATCACGGGGGGGGTGTCCCCCTAATGTATACTAGGAGTGTCCCCCTCCGACCATTGCATCACGGGGGGATATATATGTATACCATGAGTGTCCCCCTCCGATCGTATCATGGGGGGAGGGGTATACATCCGCCTCCTCATCATCAGACCAGTAGAAGGGGTGTATGTATAATGGGGGGGTAGTAGTAATGAACAAAGTGCACCCCTTGTTCTAGCAAAGATGGACAAAGGGTGGGGGGGGGGGGGGGGCTCCTCTGTATAGTTGGAGACACTCGGCTCCCTCCGTCCCTCAGGACAGGAAGGTGTCAGATTGGAGTCTTCCCATTGGTCGGTTGGATGGCTGCACTCACCTTCACATTGGAGGAGGAAGTCTCCCTTCTCAGGATTTCATTCTTCTGATGGTCCAGTCTGTAGGGGGCGCCGTTCTGTAGCGGGGACTATAGAACACACTAGGTGTGAGGGATAACTGTCCTTTTGTGAAGCTGTCAGTGGCAGTTGAGGTGTGACTGTCTTGTTGTTGTTGCAGGTGATCACCTCCACAGGGATCTGCTGGAACTTGTCTCCGGTGGGCAGAGTGACGCCAATGGAATACCGGAATAAGTAGAGGATCCGGAGTGACGGCGCCGCGCGTCACCTGAGCTGTACATAGCCCAGCCTGGCCCCCCATCTCCGGGAGGGGCCCGGGGGCCCGATGTAATGAGTCCAAAAATAAATGTCAAATTCTCTTCTGTATGTTCTCCTTCATTCTTTGTGTATTGTATATTCAATGGGGGGTGGAGAGTGACGCCCCCACCCCCACCCATCATGGCTGTGATATTACACTGTATCTGCACATTGCAGCTCACTGATCCTTCATCTCTACATGCCTGCTGATCCTGCCAGTAACACACTTCCTGTCCTTGGGTGACAACACTCGCTGTGCTCTTCTCTATGGAGGATCAGTGTTGTCACCTTTGTGAGGAGGGGGGTGTTTGATGACTAGCAGGTTTAGATACACTAACAAACTGAAGCTGAACTCCGGCTCACACTTGATAATCCGTTACAAGTTTGTTCCTTTTGGGTTGAAGGTTTTACATCGATGAATAAAAGCTGATCATTGTAAGCCCCTCCCCCTGTCAGCAGGAGATGGTTTGTCACATCCCTCTAACTGACACGTCTGCAGGACAGCTTGGTCTGGTAAAGAAAGTGGGAAAAACAGACTTAATGGCAGGGATCACCGGCTGAGAGTGACTGAAAGGTAAAAGGAAGCAGTCACCTGGAAGCACTGTTGGGGTGGAATATATTCCATATTTGGGGATTTTGATTCAAGTATCAGAATGGATTGAACCTTGACGCTCCCCCCTTCCCTCCCCTCCCCTCTCTCTCGCCCCCCCCCTCTCTCCCTCCCCCCTCTCTCTCCCCCTCCTCTCCCTCCCCCCTCTCTCCCTCCCCCCTCCCCCCTCTCTCTCCCTCCCCCCCTCTCTCCCCCCCCCTCTCTCCCTCCCCCCTCTCTCCTCCCCCCCTCTCTCCCTCCCCGAACACAGGAAGTGGATGTCAGGAGGGCCACCCTTCATTGGTTGAAGCTTAGGCTCCGCCCTGGAATGGTTCTGTCTGTAGAGGTGGGCGGAGCTCTCAGGTTAAAGTGGAATTCAAAGATCACAGATGGGTATCCTGTCGGCCTTTTGTGTACAGGGAGCTCCAGACAGCGCAGCGCACGTTTCTGCTGCGGATTGCTACAGCAATGATGTGACTCCAGGGTGTGGCAGCGATGTCATCCCCACCTGGCCAATCCATCAGTCAGAAGGGAAGATGGACGTGGCTGATCCTGGAGCGTCCGCCATAATGCGCTAATGTGGGCTGTGTAGTCGCACAGTATAGATGGAACCTCCCGGGGCCCGTTCTGTATGGAGGTTACAATTCCACTTTTAGGTGAAATATCCAAGGAACGCCGGGCTCCCCGGACACGGGAGGAGCGGCGGGCTCCCCGGACACGGGAGGAGGGGCGGGCTCCCCGGACACGGGAGGAGGGGCGGGCTCCCCGGACACGGGGAGGAGGGGCGGGCTCCCCGGACACGGGAGGAGCGGCGGGCTCCCCGGACACGGGAGGAACGCCGTCTCATCAGACCATCCTGTCATCATCAGGGAAATCACAGAAGGGCAGAGAGTTCACCCGCCCAAAGAAAGGTCACCAAAGTCCCCTCTGCCCCCATAGAAGATAGTGTGGGGTCACCGATGGTCAAAACACCTGTAGGAGCCAACCACCAACAGACAATGGCGAGACTCATGAATGCTCAGTAACCGAGAATTGACTCGATCCATCAAACCACAGAATAGATTGATGTCATGGAGGAACAAAGAGACAGAACGGGGGGGGGGGGGGGGGGGGGAGGGGGGGGGGGCGGGGGGGGGGGGGGGGGGGGGGGGGGGGGGGGGGGGGGGGGTTATGAGTCCAACACTGAGGCACCTCCCACCTTTCACTGGGTACCGTCTCACATTTTGGGAACTTTATTTTTTCCATTCATGTAAATGGGCCTCCCTCTGCTACAAATATGCACTCAAGAAGCTCCTCCCTGAATTTTGGATGACAGTCAAGCATGTTTTTTTCCCCAACTACACAGAATAATTGAAGTCTTATAAGAATGTGAGTGAACAGTGCTGAGTAAAGGATCGGCGGAGCAATCGCTTAGACTACAATTGTTCTGTGTATGTGCGAGTCAAGCAAATCCTCCACCAGGTGGCCCCATCATAAGGTGCTGAGGTGTAATAACACCAATCCACCACCAGGCGTCTCCATCATACAGCACTGAGGTGTAATAACACCAATCCACCACCAGGTGGCCCCATCATACAGTGTGAGGTGTAATAACATGAATCCTCCACCAGGTGGCCCCATCATACAGTGTGAGGTGTGTAATAACATGAATCCTCTACCAGGTGTCCCCATCGTACAGTGCTGAGGTGTAATAACATGAATCCTCTACCAGGTGGCGCCATCGTACAGCGCTGAGGTGTAATAACACCAATCACCACCAGGTGTCCCCATCATACAGCGTCTGAGGTGTAATAAACACCAATCCACCACCAGGTGGCGCCATCGTACAGCGCTGAGGTGTAATAACACCAATCCACCACCAGGTGTCCCCATCATACAGTCTGAGTCTGAGGTGTAATAACACCAATCCACCACCAGGTGTCCCCATCGTACAGTCTGAGGTGTAATAATACCAATCCACCACCAGGTGTCCCCATCGTACAGTCTGAGGTGTAATAACACCAATCCACCACCAGGTGTCCCCATCGTACAGTCGCTGAGGTGTAATAACACCAATCCACCACCAGGTGTCCCCATCATACAGTCTGAGGTGTAATAACACCAATCCACCACCAGGTGTCCCCCATCGTACAGTCTGAGGTGTAATAACACCAATCCACCACCAGGTGTCCCCATCGTACAGTCTGAGGTGTAATAACACCAATCCACCACCAGGTGTCCCCATCGTACAGCGCTGAGGTGTAATAACACCAATCCACCACAAGGTGTCCCCATTCGTACAGCGCTGAGGTGTAATAACACCAATCCACACACCAGGTGTCCCCATCGTACAGTCTGAGGTGTAATAACACCAATCCACCACCAGGTGTCCCCATCGTACAGTCTGAGGTGTAATAACACCAATCCACCACCAGGTGTCCCCATCGTACAGCTCTGAGGTGTAATAACACCAATCCACCACCAGGTGTCCCCATTGTACAGTCTGAGGTGTAATAACACCAATCCACCACCAGGTGTCCCCATCGTACAGTCTGAGGTGTAATAACACCAATCCTCACCCAGGTGTCCCCATCGTACAGTCTGAGGTGTAATAACACCAATCCACCACCAGGTGTCCCCATCGTACAGTCTGAGGTGTAATAACACCAATCCACCACCAGGTGTCCCCATCGTACAGCAGTCTGTCTGAGGTGTAATAACACCAATCCACCACCAGGTGTCCCCATCTTACAGTCTGAGGTGTAATAACACCAATCCACCACCAGGTGTCCCATCGTACAGTCTGAGGTGTAATAACACCAATCCACCACCAGGTGTCCCCATCGTACAGTCTGAGGTGTAATAACACCAATCCTCCACCAGGTGTCCCCATCATACAGTCTGAGGTGTAATAACACCAATCCACCACCAGGTGTCCCCATCATACAGTCTGAGGTGTAATAACACCAATCCACCACCAGGGTGTCCCCATTGTACAGCGCTGAGGTGTAATAAAAACACCAATCCACCACCAGGTGTCCCCATCGTACAGCGCTGAGGTGTAATAACACCAATCCACCACCAGGTGTCCCCATCGTACAGTCTGAGGTGTAATAACACCAATCCACCACCAGGTGTCCCCATCGTACAGTCTGAGGTGTAATAACACCAATCCACCACCAGGTGTCCCCATCGTACAGTCTGAGGTGTAATAACACCAATCCACCACCAGGTGTCCCCATTGTACAGCGCTGAGTGTAATAACACCAATCCTCCACCAGGTGTCCCCATCATACAGTCTGAGGTGTAATAACACCAATCCACCACCAGGTGTCCCCATCGTACAGTCTGAGGTGTAATAACACCAATCACCACCAGGTGTCCCCATCATACAGTCTGAGGTGTAATAACACCAATCCACCACCAGGTGTCCCATCGTACAGTCTGAGGTGTAATAACACCAATCCACCACCAGGTGTCCCCATCGTACAGCGCTGAGGTGTAATAACACCAATCCTCCACCAGGTGTCCCCATCATACAGTCTGAGGTGTAATATAACACCAATCCACCACCAGGTGTCCCCATCGTACAGTCTGAGGTGTAATAACACCAATCCACCACCAGGTGTCCCCATCATACAGTCTGAGGTGTAATAACACCAATCACCACCAGGTGTGTCCCCATCGTACAGTCTGAGGTGTAATAACACCAATCCTCCACCAGGTGTCCCCATCATACAGTCTGAGGTGTAATAACACCAATCCACCACCAGGTGTCCCCATCGTACAGTCTGAGGTGTAATAACACCAATCCTCCACCAGGTGTCCCCATCATACAGTCTGAGGTGTAATAACACCAATCCACGCCACCAGGTGTCTCCATCATACAGTCTGAGGTGTAATAACACCAATCCTCCACCAGGTGTCCCCATCATACGGTGGGAAAGAGCGATTATGCGGATACAACATAGTGATGGTAAATGGGCGGGGTGGGGCGGGGCGAGGGGAGGGGAGGGGTTTGTTTACTCCCAGGAATTCAGGTATAGGTGGAGGAAATGTCTCGCTCCGCCCCTTTATTATCTGCCTTCCCCGAATTCTTTGGCCTCACGTCGCCATGGTGAACGGGCTGTCGGTCATGTGACGGTTTTTCGGTTCTCGCGAGAGTTGCTCATTCTCCCGGATCTGAGGCGGTGACAAACACGGCTCCGGGATGTGAGAGGAGACACCGGGCGCAGCAGGTGAGGGATGGAGGGGGGGATGGTGGGGAATGTCCTGTATGGTGCTCCCCCCAGGACTGCCATGTACGGAGAAGCTGTCGGTGTCCCTGACTGATGGAAGCTGCATGGGGGGGGAGGGAGATGTATGGGGGGGGGGGATGTATGGGGGGGGGGGGGGGGAGGGAGATGTATGGGGGGAGATGTATGTGGGGGGAGGGGAGATGTATGGGGGGGGAGGATGTATGGGGGGGAGGGGAGGGAGATGTATGGGGGGGAGGAG